TCCCAAACGTCTGCAGCGAATGTGTCGGCCACACCAGATCGCTCAATACTCGTTCTCATATGCATAAGATCATGCAACTTCGGGAGTTTCCAATTTGATGGTTGGTATCTTCCCAATTTCGCTTTGATGGTCGTTACGAAGTCCGTCATCAACGCGTCACATTCGTCGAGGGAAGCTCGAGTGTGTGCTGTGCGCCGAAACAACCGTACGTACATTTGCATCAGCTTAACAAAACAAGCGGTAATGCTCTTGCCTGTCGAGCGCGGGATTATATTAAAAATGAGGAACACGCACACTGTCCTCACAGACCGGGTTTGCTTCGCCTCGAAGCGTCCCTCTCGAGAAAAAAAATCGCTGCCTGTGGCCACGGGCAGCACAAGTTGGGGATATGTTCGCGTACATCTCTCACTAACGCATTGCAATCTTGCATCGAGTTCCTTCAGGATCTCTGTTTGCGGTGTGTTCGGCAACTTCTCAAAGGCTGCCGCCCTGAATGCGTCGATCATGTGCAGGAATAAGCCGTGTTCGATCGTGTGCATACGGTCTGGTTGCAATGCGAGGTGGTAGTCTAGCTGAGGATCATCGCCACTCGGCCCCCTGTAGAACCCCCAAAGGCCGTTTTGTTCAACATGCCTATGCATGTCCAACTCCGCCATTCGCCCTTCCGCCGCACAGCGCACGTCATCGTCGTCCCCCGTGAACAAAGCTGCTGCGAGTTGAGTTTCCAGCGTCTGGGATCTCCTGCTGTCCGTGAAATCGGCCGCGACATCGAGGTCCGTTTTCGACACGGTGCATGTAGGGCATACACCAAACTTCGCATTCGCCAGCGCACATCGCTCTGGGTAGTCCTGTATATAGTTGAGGAGGAAAGGGTGGACAGTCACATCCCCGAATCGCGTCGACGGTATCGTGATGCCGTCGTGCGATGTCTCCTTCGCAGCTTGCAAGACCGTCGAAAGGGCCTTGTGGAAGATGACGGCCTTTCGCTTCCTGAATGCGGTGGACTGTAGACCCCATCCTTTGTCACGGGGTCGATGATGAAGCACGGGAAGATAGGCCAGCAGAGTGGCTTCCGACGCGTGGTCGGCTAGCGACATCATAAGAGGGTATGCCGTCTGTTTCTGACGACCGTCTGTGTGTGTCTTGTCGGAGTACAGTGAGAGAGGGATTACATATCGTGGATTTCCATTCTCGTCGACACCTTTGTGCGCTCGAATGATTGACTTCGTGTGATAACTGAGCGCCCCGCTGCGCGGACCGGATACACTGTTGTCCTCCGACGGCGGGGACACCTCGAGGGAATGAACCGTCTCGCATTTCTGCAACGCGACGTGCATTATCGATAAGAATGCAGTTCGCCAATCGCGGTGCCACAAGATGGCATGCGCTTCTCGAAGCCAGTCATCACTACGCAGATCCAACTCCTTCCACCCAGCGGCCTCTACTAGACTGCCCGCCCATGCGAAGCACTCTCGACTGTTGCGGTACGCAATGTCCGTCGTGCTGAATCTCGGGTCTTTGAGAAGTGACAAGAGAGCATCAACGTCCGTATGTGACATACCGACGCCGCCCCTGGCGGAGAAAATAAGCGTTGCTAGCCTGCGCGAGCCGTCAAAAGGCTCAACGGGTTGTGCTGCCGGCTCTGCGTTATCACCGGCTGCCCCATTTGCGTCGTCCTCCGCCCTCTCGTCCTCGCTCTCATCACCAGCGAGATTGGTTACGCCTATGTTGAATGGTCCCGGGTCGTGGGCAGCATCATTCTCCTGCCTTTGCGCTCCCTCATCCGCCACGGCGGGGCATGCCCTCGCACGATGCGAGTTTAAAGTCCGTA